TAATTCTAGAATATTCTTACACCCCCAAAAGATACTCGATACCTAGAAATAGTTTTCTCCTAGACTCCGGCAACAAATCTGCTATTGCCGAATTCCCTTCTTCTGAAGATAATCTTTAACTCCCCAGAACCTTGTCAAATTGCCAGTAGAGAGGGAAGCAACAGACAGTGAAGTGGCTAAGATCCTGGATTCTAGTGTCACCTGCCCAGCTGATACTCTCTAGCTGTGTGGCTTGGGGAAAATGATTGAACCTCTCTGAGCCTGAGTTTCTTCATCTGTATAATTCTTTTTTTTTTTTTTTTTTTTGCGGAACCAGGGATTGAACTCAAGCCCTTGTGCTTGCCAGGCAAGCACTTATTCTACTGAGCCATCTCCCTGGCCCTCATCTGTGTAATTCTGATAAGCTCATCATGAGGATTAAATAAGACTATGTTTAGGCATTTAGCACGCAGGGCCTGCATTCACTGCTCCCGAAATGCCAGCTGTTTTCACTGTGCTTACCCCATATCACTGATGAAGGCATTCAGGCAGAGAGGGGTTAAGGGATGTGACCAAGGCCACACAGCCGGCACATGGCTGGGTCCCAGGTCTCCTTACTTAAGCCCTTAGTTTTTTCCATTACACCACACTGGCCCAGCCCCTCTATGCAGCCTCAGCCCTTCCCACACTCTGTGAGCCAAGTTACTTGTGAAAAAGCCTAAGGCGACAGGCCAGACAGGAGGGAGAGGACAGGGGAGTCATGAAGTCATCTAACTCAAGGGTGTCAAGGCCCAGGCAGGCTGCTGGCCTCCTGGCCTGGTCCTAAGGAATGGCTGCACTGGACTGTGGTGGTTCTTCCCTCATCTCTTCCTGTCTGGTGTGGGCGTGGGGTGGGTGAAGGCCACTTCCAGGAGGAGCAGACCCTCTAGAATTTCATGACTTTCCCACCCGAGCCATGCAGCTGGGACTCCTCAGAGCCAGCTGAAGCCCCACCTTTGGACATTGTTCTAGGAGAGACGCCCTGCTTGAGGCAGCTGCTTACATGATAGCAGACCCCCAACTGTTCCCAATTATGCTGAGCCATTGGAGAAGAGAACCTTCTTTTTAAGTTCTGGTAGAAATAAAGTTGAGTCAGGACTGGAGAGCAGAGGGAGCACAGGCTTTGGGTCTGGAAGACCAAGGATCAAACTCTGGCCTTGATAGGTTATGGCCCTAGTAAGAATTGCTGAATTATGATGGTGGTCATCTAATATGGCTGAAGCCCTTAAAACAACAGCTTATCTTCCCAGAGACCACCTCCCCACTTCTTCTCCAACTCAGCCCAGGATGCAGTTTCCTTTCACCTTTCCCCCCACCTCAGGGAAGGCCCCAGTCAGCTCCTCAGGTCTATCTAAACTTCCCCCCCAAGCCCCACCCCTGGCAAAGGCCATAAAAGCCTCAGCCTCCTTTTGTTCCAATCCAGAGAATTCCTTATCTTCCCAAATACTCTCTGTGTCCTCTAAGATAATGAAGTCCCTTTTCCTTTATAATAAAGCCCCTTTCCCTTTTCCTTCTGCATGTTTCTCTGCTGTGACACCGTTAAAACCTATCAGGCCTAAGCATCCTACAGGATGTCACCTGGAGCAACTACTCACATCTGTGCATAGGGAAAAAGGATAGCTAAGGTGCTTACTGAGTCAGGCATATCTCATTTAAAAGTCACAACAAACACAGGAGGCAAGCACTTTCACCACTGTGCAGATGAGGAAACTGAGACTCAGAAATAAACAGAGGTGACACCAAGCTGAGAAAGTAAAAGGCAAAGCTGTGGTTGGAACCTGGGTCTGTCCTCAGCCTTAGGTTGTGTTGGAGAAGATAACACAGGGTAGCCAAGGGTTTCAGAATGTCAGAAGAATGTCATGGTTACCTACGTGGTTCTTGGCCTCCCTTCCCACACCCTCCTCCGAGGGCCCTTCCTCCAATGAGCCTGTACCTATGGCCCAACCTCCCGCACCACAGCTGACAGGCTCAGGCTCTGGGATGGACTGTGATCTAGGACCCTTGGGAACACAGAGCCTGTCCTAGGCCTGGAACTGGCACCCAGAAGCTCCAGATTGCTGACAACAGGAAAGCCACTTCAAGCGCTAACAGGGCATGCTCTTGGCCAATGTGGACAATGTGACAGCAGAGTGAAGAGCCTGATCCAGAGAGGTTGGCAGGAAAACAGAGCAGGCTTGATGGAAGATTCTGAGGCTACAATGACAGATGGCCAAGAGTTGCCAGCCAATTCTAGTCCTTACAAGGCTGGCTGCAGTTTTTGCTCTGGATTCTAGGACATGTGCCTGCCTCTTCTCATAAATCCAGCTCCACCCTTGTCTTCAAGCACAAACTAGCTGAGCAAGATTTTGATTTACAGATGTAAATAAGCCCTGCCGTTCCCTCAAGGAGGGATCTGTATATGTTGGGCAGAAGGCCCGTGGAGTACATCTCCAGGTAGCCCTCCCTAGTCAGACACCCACTACCTGCAAGGTCAGTGTAGCAACTTACAAAAACGCTCACCTAACATTTGCTCTCAAAACTGAAGACCAGCCTGAAAGAATGTGCGTAAGCCAGCTCTGTGTCAGGGTCAATTGATGTAGCTGCCCTTCAGCATTCCTCTATCACTCTCACGGTATTGGAAGGTGCTGGGCATGATGCCTTTCCCTTCATTTCCCCCAAGAATTGGTTCTTCCCTGGCTCCAGGGTCTGTTCCTGCCCTGTTCATTTCAGATGACATCTTAAACATATAGCCTCTTCATTTATATTCAGCTCATGTTTGCAGCAGAGCAGAAGAAAATTATAATTTGTGTATGATACTGTTTGATATGGTTACATACTATTGAACACAAAGCATTACAAATGAGTTTATTATGTTTTAAGTAATTAGGTGACTGGTATCTTAATTGCTTTACATGCTGTAGCAACTCTTGGCAGTTTGTTATGAAGGTGTTTGAGATTGTTTTGGTGATACTGGAGAAAGCCATTAGGAACATATTATTATTTCTGTTCCTCCTGCACAATAATGGGACATGGGCTCTGAAAATTTTGATTGATATTTTCAGGAACAGACTAGGTCCATACGACCAAGTATGCCTTTGGTACTATCATCCAACCTTCTGGGAGAAGCTGTGAGGAAACAGGATGTTACACAAGAAACCCCTGCTTTGCTTCTGAGCCCAGCTGCTTGGGAAGCTACCTTGCTCCAGGTTTTGGTCCCCACCCCTTGAGAGGTGAAGCAGGGACTCAATGCTGCAGTTTAGATTTGAAATGTTCCCACAAAGTATCGTGTGTGGAGGGTGACTAGGGGGCTATGTTCATCAGTGGACTCACCATTGATGATGTCAATGGCTGAATACGCTCTTAGGAGGTGGAGCCTACTAGGAGGTGGGCCACTTGGGGAGAGGCCTGGAAGGGTGCATTCCTGTCCCTGGTTTCTCCCTTCTCTTTCTGTCTGCTGGATACCATGGGGGCAACTTTTCTGCATCAGGCTCTTCTACCTTGCTATTTTTGTATTAGAGGTGATCAACCAGGGACTGAACCCAGTGAACTGTGAGATAATCTGAACTTCTTTTCCTTTAAAGGAGGAGTTGGTTATTTTGTCCTGGTGATGGGAAAGCAAGTGACTAATGTATCCAGGAAAGCTCAGTGGCTGACAAACTACTCTCACATTGATTGGCATGAGATGGGCCCACGACATACAATAATCACTTTGCTGGGACTTTGAAGTGGCTCTTGGTTGTTTGTCCTAAGTGTGAGCCCAGAGGTGCTATAGCCATCCTGCAGTCAGGTAGGATCTGAAGATAACACAACACCACGAAAAGTGAGAATGTGAGATGAGAGGAAGATGGGAGTATTCCAGACAGGGAATACTGCGATAACCCTAGAGCAAGCTATGCCTGAAGCCCAGAAGGCTTCTTCTCCTGGGACTTTCAGTTACATCTTAAGTAAGATTGGGTTGCTTCTGTCATTTGTGACAGAGATATCTTGACTGAAACAGCAGGAAGAAAGGCAGTAATCTCAGGATGGAGATTTACACTAGCCTGAGAAGATGTGGCCCCTCGCAGCATGGCAGGTATGCGCACAGAGTTCAGCAGTCTGGGCAAGCTGCCCTCATCTCTGAGGCAGGGATTTCCTAAAGCCCTTCGCTGCAGCATATCCTGAGAGGATATGACTTCTACCTGCTTTGAGCCACTTGCCTTTGGTAACAGTAAGATAAATCCACTGGCCCAGGAATTAGCCTTGTTGCCCTGTGGGGTGAGTGGGCTTCCCCTGGGCTGTCCATGTACTGCCTGGCCCACTACGAGACTGGTGACACACACCGTGTTCACGCACTCATTTATGCATTCAATCATCTGCCCACCCACCAAACGCCAAGTGGACGCATACTGCATGGTAGGTCTTGAATAAGTTATCAAGGAGACAGAGGATGAAGATGTGGGCATGGTTCTAGAAGGGGAGACAGATACACGGACAACTTCATTATAGGGAAACTCACAGGGCTACAGGGGAACAGACTAAGTGGCTCTTATTGGCCAGCGAACAGTCAGACTACTAGGCTTCCCAGAAGATGAGAGTCCTGAAGGCAAGACAGACTCACCGAGTCAGTAAGTGCATTAGAAGGGTACAGGGTAACATTCCATGTGAGAAGCGGGGAGGGCAAAGGCCTGGCTGTGGGGACAGGGAGGGAGGGAGTCGAGGAAGTGCTGATAAACGCAGCAAATGCAGCTCACCAGCAAACGCTACTCTTTAAAATTCAAGTTCAAAATTATACTCCAAAGCCATATGGAAAAGATTTCCATATTATTCTCCCTTTTGGAAAATCCTTTTCTCTTATTTGGAAAACATTAAATATCAAAGCATAAAACAACAAAGTATGTTCCAAGGTAATGGATATAATTTTTAAGTTGAGGAAATAAGAAGTCCAGACTCTAATGTCTTAGTGGAAAGTGAGTGCAATTCAACTCTTTCCCAACTTGCAGCTCACCAGAGCTCACACTCCTTACCTGCAGGTCGAAGAACTTGCTGTAGCGCCGGTAAATGGCCTCGGTGGTGCCACTGGACCACGTGACACGGATGATGTAGACCTGCAGGGAGGGACACAGGAGACAGGTGTTACCACCAAGGTGGCTGCTGTGGTTTGAATGTGTCCCCTGAAGTCCATGAGTTAGAGATTCAGCCCCAATGCAACAGTGCTAGCAGGCAGGACCTTAGAAGGTGATTAGGTCATGGGGCTCTGCACTCGTGAACAGAGTGGATTCCCTAACATGACAATAGGTTCATTATAAAAGCAAGTTTGGCCCACTATCCTCTCTCCTGCCTGTCTGCCTTCTGCAATGGATTATGTAGTAAAAAGACCCTTGCCAGATGCCAGCCCCTGGATCTTGGACTTCTAGTCTACAAAATGATAAGAAATAAATCTTTGTTCTTTACCAGTTACCCTAGAGTACCCTGTTAGAGTACTACAAAATCAAGTAAAATGGGGTTCTTTTATTTCTGGGACCCACAAGAAGCAAAAACTTCTGAGCCAAAAAGACCCAGCAATGAAGATGACTAACATGTGGGCTGTGGATAGCTATTGTTTTCACCCCTCTTTGAACTGGAACACCTCAGCTTTCTTCCAGGGAAACTACTTTTCTACTTTAGTCCAGCCCCTTAGAAACAGAGGTGTGGAGTTGGGGCTGTGGCTCAGACGTAGAGCACTGTTCTAGCAAGTGAAAGGCTCTATATTCAATTCCCAGCACTTCCGGGGGTGGGGGGGAAGTGACCATATCACCTGAGCTGGACTAGTCAGAACCAACAGGGAGTCAGTTCTGAGACTTCTGCTCTAATTCTCAGGAAAGGCAAGCTTTGTGACTCTGAAGTTGTTGGGCTGGGTCCATGTGTGAGGCACCTACCTAAAACCAACACCATCAGCAGACTGCTGAAGAAACAGTCTGCCTTTTCTATCCAGTTCTGCTTGTAGCTCAACTACCAGGGAACTATCCTGTGTATAATGATACTGTGAGGCACATCCAAGCTCTGGAGTTATCTCTGAGCCCAGTTTAAGTTGGGTCTCTGATACACGTCACCTAGTCTAGACTGATACGGGGATGGGGCAAAAGAGTGGTCTCTGAAACCTGGAGTCACCACAGTGTACCTTGTCAGACAAGTCTGACTTAGACAGGTGGAGAGGAAAAAAGAGAAACTGGATGGAGAGGTGATGGGGGGTGACTGTAGGGACTGAGAAACAAGCCCCAGCTGAGGAATGATGGGGGAGGGGCACTGTGCCTGGAAGTGTTTTAGGCAGGGTCTCTTTTCAAATGAATTCTTATAAGGTTCCTACATTCAAAACAGAAAAAGGAACCAAATGTGGAGGTGAAGGCCTGTCACCCCAGCACTCAGAAGGCCGAGGCAGGTGGATTGTGAATCTGAAGCCAGTCTGAGCTCCACGGAGTTTGAGGGCTGTCTGGGTTATATACCAAGACACCTCCCCACCTCACCCCCCAAAAAGAAAGAAAGAGAATAGCTTCAGGATGCCGGAGCCAGAGTCTAGTATGAATACCATGGACACTCTCTAGGTAAGAAGAGATGCAAACTGAAAGGTTAAGTCAGGATAAGATGGGAGGCAGCCTGAAATGCCAGGCTAAGATGCTCACGTCATGACCACTCTAAACCCAACATGATTTTATCTCAAAGAAGCAGGCAGAAAGGAAGGAACTTCAGCTGTGGAGCTGAGAACTCTCCACTCACCATTTCCCACCTCTGCAGTCCCAGCTTCCTTATCTGTAAAGCTGGTGATAAGAGGCAAAGCCCTGAGTTCCTCTCCAGGCAGACAGGAAACAATCAACAAATCCAAGAGCTCTGCACTCAGATTCCCTAATGCTTCCCGTCCTGCGCACAGAAACAGGGCTGATTTTACACCTTGGATGCGGGCAGCCTGGCTGGCCCTTTCCTTGGTCTTTGTCCACCATTCCTAGGCAACTGGCACAGCTGTAGAAAAGGCCAATGCCCCCTGCAGGAGGCAGGGGGTGGCTATCACTTTAGAGAGATGAGTTCCTGATAAAAGGAAAGCTGCACTTGTAAGTTCACGAGAAGTGTTCCTTTTTTAAAAATGCATTTATGTATTTAGTACAGGGTCTACAGGATCCCACTACAGCATGGACTCGTAGTGATACTCCTGTTTTCAGCCTCCCAAGTGCTGGGATTACAGGCCACAGGTACACACCACCATGTGTAGTCTTATTTGGTGGCTCAGCATGCTCCAGGGTTGGGGCCGCTACAGCATGCCTGGGATCGAACCCCGGTTGCTGAGCGTGCCTAAACAGTCACTTTAGTTTGCTGAGCCATCTGGCCAGCCCTCATGAGAAGTGTGCTTAAAGGAGTCTCCCAATCTCCTGGGCAGCTTTCCACTCTCCCTCATCAAGTCTCCAGCAGGAGGGTTGGGTGGCTCCTACTCATTTGTTCATTTGCTTCACATTTATTAAACACTTCTTATGTGTCAGGTCTCTGCTAGGTGCTGGGATACAACTAGGAACAAGACTCAGACTCCGGGGCCCAGGGAGACAGCTCAGTAGAATAAGCGCTTGCCTGGCAAGCACAGGGTCCTGAGTTCAATCCTTGTTCTTGGAAAAAAAAAAGATTCAGACTCCAGCCTTGAAGAGTGGGAAGATACATAACATGCCAGCAAACCAGCAGACATGTATGTCCACTCTGTGTACCCAGGGTCCCCACCTCCAGAGATGGAAAATGCTACACTGCTGTGGACAGGAGCCACTTAGTTAGGCCAACCATGGATGCACCTATAGTCAACTCTAAAATCACAACAGCATATAAATGCAATCAGCCTTCTATAACCTCAACTTTTGTCCCTTGTAATTATTCCTTATCATTATTCCCTTTGTCATTGTTCCTTAGAGATTTAACAATCATTTGCATAGTATTTACATTGCATTAGATATTATAATTAATCCAGACATTATTTAAAGAATATGGGAGGATACGAATAGGTTCTATGAGAATACATCATATTATGCAAGGGGCTCAAGCATCTGTGGATTTTGGTGTCTTTAGGGGTCTTGGAACCAATCCTCCTCTGATATGTAGGTCAATTAATTATAAATTACAATGAGGGCTAGAGAGGCCTCCAAGTGCTGCTGACATGGGGCACTATGGGAAGACCTTTGAACTGAGAAATGAAGGACAAGGAGCTGGTCTCAGGAGGGCTTGGAAAGAACACTGCAGGCAGGAGGAACAGTGGGAACCAAGGCCGAGAGGCTGGGGTATCCTGAGCCCATGGGAACACAGGACAGAATCGTGACCAGGCAGAGCTGGGGGAGGAGCAGGGAGGCTAAGGGGACCACAGCTGGAAGACAAGGGCCTTCCAGGCCACAGAGAGTAGTGGGGCTGCGGTTCTACTGCAGAGTTTTAATGAGTGGAAGGAAGCATGTGAACGGATCTAATGTACTAATATACCACATATTTATGAGCTGCCAGTTCCAGGAACCCTATGGATATCAAAATCTGCAGTTGCTCAAGTCCTTTACATAAAATGGCACTGTATTTGCATGGAACCTACAGACATCCTCCTGCACACCTACGTCATCGCTAGAATACTTGTAATACCTAACACAATTTCACATCTGCATAGATTTAGCATAGTATTCAGAAGGATTTTTTTTTTTTCTCAGAATGCCTTCAGGGCAGGTTTGGCTGGCTTGCCTTGTGGGGATCGAACCGCAGCAACCTGAGCCTGACTGCTTTGTTGAAGCAGCCACTTAAAGAACTGAGCTAAAGGGCAGGCCCCTAGCATAGTATTCGATATGTGGCAAGTTTTGCATTTTGGAACTTTCTGCAGTTTTACAAAAACATTTTATCCTGTAGATGATTGAATCAGGATGGGGAACCTCGAGGATACAGAGGGCTGATTGCATTTGTATGCCATTGTGATTTCAATGGTACATATTTATGGAGTACAGTATGTTAATTCAGTCCATGTATAAATGTGCCATGATCAAATGTGTGAATCTCCATCCAACTGTGTATTTTTAAAAAATCCATATATATCTCCTTCAGCTGCTATGTGGAAAATGGTTTGGGGAGGAGCAGGGACAAAAGCAAGGGTTTTTCGCAACTCCAGCAAGAAATTAAAAGCTGAAAGAAACTCCAGAATTCACCTAGGCTAAATGTCCTCCTACTAGAAGGGTTAAACTGAGGCCTAGAAAGGGAAAGTATCATATCAAAGGTTCCCATCCATGGGAATGTTCAAGAAGAATTTGGAAGACTGTCAAGGACACTGCCAATGAGGATTAAAAACTGGGGGGGGGGGGAGACCATCAAGTATTGAGTGCTTCTGACCTTATCAGACCCAAAAGCTACAACTCTTGTTGCATAGGTCCTGCTTTACCTTGGTCTTAACCATCCAGCAGAAAAGTATAAAAAGGAAATATAAGAAGTAAAGCCATGCTGTTATGTTGAGCTGTAGGGGACTCAGGTCAACAATTTCTGACATTGCCAGTCAAGCAGAAGACCCAATACTATTATGGGCTACTGGACTCTTTTAGAATATTTTGCTGAGTTTACACACCTATAATATTCAAATAACGGAACTTAACAAAAAAGGGGATACAGATGAATGTCCATTTTGTGTCTGTGTATTCAAAGTGGTTAGGATAGACATATAGGTACATTCTCTTGATGAATAGAGTGATTTGTTCTAATGGTGTTTGTAAATAGGATATCAAGTCCGCATCTTGTATAGCAATTAACACTAGGAAGAATGTATGCAATGTGTTAATTATTGAAACTGTCCCTCCAATTTGATTTGAAACTCTCTCATTGCTATTTGTTTCTCAATAAAATTATGAAAAAAAATTGAGGCGTATATAGATTGGGTTGATTCATGAAAACCAACATATGAAACAAATTTAACTGAAAAATAATATTAAATAATATGTAGATACATTATAATAAAATTTATTTTGTAATTTGACAGAAATTGAAAGTTAATTTCAAGAATGCACTTTGTATGTTGATAAAGGTAGTTAATTTCAAGAATAATAAGAGAAATTAAAGTTTGTTTTTTCTATACAATTGCTTACACTAATGA